TTACCCAGGGTGGTAACACCTGTTAGGGTCCCAGCTAAGGGAAAATAGTGCCTACCAGGGCTGACCAAGCTCTTTAGTGTTATAGAACACGACTGGTCTAGGAGATGGAAAACTCTTATACAAAAAGCCTGAGGTCTATTGTCTGCTTCGTCTGTGGCATTTATTTGCACCGGCTGAACGTATTAGTTGTTCCGAAAGTGTGGATGGTTCTGCACAAGCCTTCACCACTTTAATCAAATCACTTGTGTGCGTTTTCTGGCTGTTTACCTTGATTCGTTCATTCTTATTATATATATATATATATATATATATATATATATATATATATATATATATATAATTTTCTTTGTTTAAAAATATGATTGAGGTGTTTAGTCCCGTTTTCATCTTCAAGCGAAATTTTAGGAAAACCTAATATTTCGCTTGAAGATGAAACGGACTAAACACTCAATTCAACTTAATTTTAATAATTATTTGGATGGCTTCGGCTCTCGTTTTTGAAACATGAGAACTCTTATGTAGCGAAGGAATCATATTTTTAAACAAAAATATTATTATAATGAAGCTCTACTTCTGTATGGAGCACTGTCTTCTTAAAAATAAAACAAAAATACTAAGGAACTCCGGATTATGCATCCAACGTGTTCTTTTCTATTTTCTGCATACCTGCGCACTTATATATATATATATATATATATATATATATATATATATATATATATATATATATATATATATATGCATGTTTCATTAAATACGACATACAAGACCTGCAAAAAAACTAAAAATAATGGAAGCTTTAATAATAAAAAAGAAAACGCCAACTCTTAACAATATTAACTACGAACAAAGCCACAATGTGCTAATCGTATTCGGAAATTAAAAACATCCCTACCACACTCTAAGACATACGCATAACGCATACACTCAATTAAGTTGAAAATTCGAATCATCCTTGATAATGGCTACAGGTATAGCCGAAAGCGCTCGGAAATATAAAACATTTGGACAGTTCTTACACACTCTTTGTCCAGAAAAGAAAGCTCTTGTTCGAACACAAGAAAAATTAAATAAAAAGCTTAACCGTAGTACCTTTTCTGTCGTTTTTAATGAAACATGCATAAAGGAAGGATTGCTGCCTATATATATATATATATATATATATATATATATATATATATATATATATCCGCTATCTTTCGTTGACCTTTCCTCGCTGCCCCGACTGCATGAATTTAAGCGTGTTGCTATATATATTTAGGTTAGTTACAATTATTACTCTTTTTTTACAAGTGCTGTCTAGAATAGTCATGCCGGTGTCAATTTTTCAACTTGTAAGGTAAGCAGGAATTGTTTCTATTACATGAATGAAATAATCGTGTCACGAAGAAAATTATTTAAAAAATAATAAGCGTACCGTAGGCAAATAAGCACCGTTCCAGTGGCAGCGAAGGTGTGTGGGTTTTGAAGGAAATAATTTAACCGTGCCAGCACTTGTATTTTGTACACACGACTACGTAAACATTTTTACAAGAGAAATGTATGCGAACTAGTGATTGTTGAAATGTAAGAAAAACAAGTTGCCTACCTGAGTGGATTGAACTACACAAGCAAGAGAATTCGAAGAAACAGAAGTGACATTCGAGTATCCCTCTTGGTGTGGCCTGAGGCTTTTGATTATTTTTAAAGCTGCATTCGTATCAAACCGGTCTATATTTCACGAACCCAATAGCAAAATAGTTTGATTTGTAAGTACCTGAAGCACAACAAAGGAGAGATAAACAGCAGAGAAAGGACAGACGCGGCACAGTTTGTAAAATAAATAATACTCAAAGCTGTAGAGTGATAAATTTGCATTCAAGAATCAATCCACACTTAGTATCGATACAAAACAGTGATAAGTTTTTATTTAGTCTGGTAGAGAGCATGCGACCACCTACACTCGTGAATGGTCTGCAAAACTAGCTCGTAAAACTTAAATATACACCATTTTACAAACAATAACTTTTTCGGAGACCTATCAATAGATGTTAAGTAATAAAATTAAATTAAAACCTTTAAATCCAATCATACTAAGATGAAAGTTCAAAATGACAGGAGCTATCAATTTTGGTCGGTTTGTATCTACCGATAGTCGACATTTTTTTGTTATCTTTTTTCAAACGAGTGCTGTTTGTTTGTTTCACATTACTCTTCGATATCTATAATCAATGTACAAGCTTTAAAAAAATCATAACTTCGACTGTTGATAGTCAAGATAGATAAAAGTAGAACTTATTTACTAAGATTAAAGCGATACAATCTTCTTACTTCTCAGCAGTATATAATTTCGAAGAATACGTAATATCAACATGTAAATAACACCTAATTATATATACCACTTAAGACTACGTCTAGTTCTTTCTTTCTTTCACTAGTTTTTTCTATCGATCTGTTTCGATAGGTTGGTTAGTTTTGAATTTCCTACTGCCATTTGTACTATTCGTTTCTCTTTTTATATCTCTCCTCTCCCTTCCTATCAATCTCTCTACCTACACACACACTATATATATATAGATTTCAGATGTTAAAAGCTTTTAGCTTGAAGCTTTTATTTTAACTTTAATTCTAAGCTAAACGATTAAATTAATATTTTCAATAAGCAAAACACCTTGCTGTATTTTAAACCGAATTCAAATTAATGGTATTTTTTTGTTTGTTTTAGAAATCGGTGATGTTGACAAATCCGCCGATGCAACATAATTCTCTTTATTAAAAAAAAATCTTTCAAACATGAAATATACTTTTCTGAAACTTTATTTGTGGGAGATTAACTGATTTAAATTTAATGGATCTGAATTAAAACAAATATTACTTACTTTCAGTCTTCCGAAAAGCATATTTTTTACTATATTTAGGTGTTTTTATGAGGTGTTGACACATTTATCGCTAACCTAACAATTGCGAGATTTAGGCAAGAGGGAAATAATTTTTTTAACTGCCCTGTAAAATATTTTAAACATTCTAATATTTTATTATTTTTATTGAATTTCAATAATTTGTCTTTATAGCCCTACTTACGAAGACGGACTAACTAATAAATTTACTATAGTTACCGCCCATTATTTTCTGCTAATGTCCTACAAGGACATATATATTTACATAAATCGGTACGTTAAAACACACACAAAAAATTCAAAATTCTTTTTAAAACAATCCAATGATTTTTTTTTTGCATTTGCAAATGTTAGCGTAAATTTTGTCTATATATCAGCTTTAGATTAGATTAGATAGAAGCAAGAAACGAAAAACCAAAGTCACAAAAACTTACTCGTCTTCAATATGCAAAGAGACAGAAAATCATGGTAAGGAACTGTTAAATAAACATGGTTAATTCACAAGAAGAAGAAATCGACGCAGAAAAGAAAACGGTAAAGAAAAACCAAATTGAAAGTGAAAAGTTTTGTGATGTCAGACGACTTCGTCGTTGTCACTTTTGTGATGTCAACGAATGCTTGTTATCACGTTTCGTAACGCTCGCTGTAGTCGAGACTTTGAATTCGTAGATACTAATAGTAACTCCTTCCAATAATACTCGCACTAGTAATACTTGTTCGAATAATAACCGCCGAAGAGTAATCCATAAAGTAATCAGTATAGAGAAATAGTATAGAAAATCGCGTTCACTTAGATGCCACGCAAATTCCCATACATACCTTTCGTTTACGATCACGTGGTTTACTTATTAGAAATTGAATCACCTGTGTTTGCTCACTGGTGACCTGTGTTCAAAAACCCAATGTCGACAACGACACTTTATCCCTATACAACAGAAAGTTTGAGGCGATAGGAGAGAAAGGTCCAGAGAGGGAGAAAGAGAAAGAGAGAAAGAGAAAGAGAGAAAGAGAAAGAGAGAAAGAGAGACTATACATATCGACAGAAGTGGAAAAAGAGAACAAAAAGAATTCATTGAATTTGGAAGTGAGGTGTTTTTACAACAACAACAAAAAAAAAAAAAACAAAGAGAGAGCAAATGGGTGACATTGAGAATGTCAACTGGTGTGTTCTCACAATGACCTCAACATACTCAAATCCTTTAGTGTCCAATTTATGTACCTTTTAGCCAAGTCTATTTGAACAAGGAAACACTTGCATGCTAATACCTGGACCAAGCAACATATGCAAATCACAGTCTTCATACAATACAATGAAGTGGGGTGGAGTTAATTATTTCGCTTACTGAAATACGTATATAGCCTTCGTAAGTAGCATGGTTAACTCAATGCGAGGAAAAGGAATAAGAGAAATGAGAAAAATATACATATTTATGCATATCGTCTGGTGAGATTTCAGATAGATAAATATATAGATACAAAGAAAGAAAAATGAACTAGATACGTAGACATCATGAAATAGAATACAGATAAATAACCAGTGGAATACGAAGGGAATGAAGACGATTCGATCCTGTGCATGTGACATGGTGTGTCCTAGATGTAAAAGTCTGCGCCGGTGAAACTAAGGAATCTAGCTCGTTTGAGCATTTGTCATAAGAATAGTGATAGAGTTGTGATAGGCTTGCTACGTTTCATCTGTGAGAAAGAGGCTCTATAATAATTCATCGTCCATAAAACCGCGTAAACACTTTTGAACTCTGTCAAGGCTGGAAAGCGAGAATGGAGCAGCTCCAATCCAGATATGGCAGCAATAATCTTTTTCTGGCCTAATCTGGCTCTTGTAAAGATAGAGCATGTTAGGATTTATTTGTTCTTTACGGCTTATCAAACTTTTGTAAATTATTTAAAGCTAAAAAAATATCTTTAGATTGTAAAAATGTTTTGGGGATGATAATGATTTACTGATACAAGTTACTAATGAACTCATAGCTGGGGAGAGAAGAGGTGGATCCGTACCTTTACCAATGGTATTTGCGCTTAAATGAATATAACAAACTCGACTGGAATTTGAACTCGGCTCTCCGATTTCGGACCGTTATCCATTACACCACCCGCACATGCAAGCTTACAGCACCTGGTATTCCCAAGCGGTCACCCATCTAGGTACTGACTAAGTTCGACTTTGCCTAACTTTACTGATGGGAACCAGTGTTTCAACGTGATATGGCTATGAGCCTAGCATGTTAGGGGGTATCAGATATTTTCTGGAACGGTACAAGGACAAAACCATTTTCCCAGCATCTTTAGCATTGGTTATATATATATTACACTGGAGGTCTGCTACAAAGAGCCTCAGTAGACGTCCAACGAAGATAATATGGTTTATATGGTAACTATGGCTGAGCAAACTGAGTTACAGTTTCCGGGAGAGAGCATATAATCTAAAATGATCAGCAGTTTGAAGAAGACCAGTACGCACAAACTTACGGTCATGATGACATGACTTTCTGCTATCGCAACCATTGACGACTTCTGTAAGTTCAGTCAATCCTAATTTCATGCACAGGTCAACCTCTGGTATGGTTTTCAGGCACATTCCAAAGGAGTCGCAAGACTCAAGAAATAACCTTCCTGACGAATCGATCATAGTGAGAGGCGAACCTGGATCTCATGGTTGGAAAGCGAATGTTTTAACTACTCGATCATATATATATGAGGAGTTTGGTTGGTGTGTGCATGATGTGTATGCACCGGCCAGATATTTTATATAATCTCAGGCTTGTCTGGAGGAATAAAGGTTCCAATTTTCGCACTACAAGTATCGACCGCCTGACGACTGTGTGAAAGCACGAAACTGACAGTAGTATTTGTACACTGCGCCAGAAATTTAATTCGCAATATATATATATATATATAAAGGGCAGAATGTGTGTGTGTGTGCGTTCGTTTATCTGTTTGATCGGATCACCTACATTTTTCAACCGATTTCAACCAAATTTGACACAGTTACTGCTAATGGTCCTGCGGAGGTTTTGACCGAAACCCAAATTAATTTAAGTCAATATTTAAATCACTATTATCGATTTTTCATTTTTGATCGGGCGCACGCGTGTGTAATTATGTGCGTTCACTGCGCACAAGCATATATGGCCACTTTTCATGCCAGAATTAATAGCGGTAGCATAATTTTAAAAAAGTTGGATTTAAGTGCTTATATGGGAATAAGAAAAGACAAGAATGGCTATATTTTGGTTCCGGATGCAAAAGTTATCACAATGAAGGATTTCTGTCGCGGCCGAACTTTGCGCTCCAAACGCAAATCGGATTAATGTTATTAGCGACGCGTTGCTCGCGCGATGCGTAATGCTTGCTGCTGATTGGCCCATTCACGCTCCTGGATCATATGAGATCTTGTGTGAACGGGGTTGGGGAGGTCTTCACGCGTGCGCGCATCAACCATCTCAAATCGGGTAGAAGTTTCAGGTAGCCTACTTTTATTTCAGGATTTAACACTCATACCCTGGTTTTTAAAAAGGATCTTTTAATGTTTCAATGCAGGCATGCATTACTTTCCATGTTTTCTGCATTTGCACGGTAAAGTAAACGTCATGACCATTTTAAAAGGGATTTACAGAGCTACATCTCAAATTTTACCAGAAAAATCAGTAAAAACAAGGTGAAACTGCTGCTTTCTAGGTGTTTGCAGCCCATTTAGCCTACTAAAGCATAGGATTGAAATAAGTGAGCAATCACTAACACATTTCACGCCACCACTTTTAAGCCAAGTGGACAGAATCGCCCCCCCCCCATTGTCCAATTTTTCACATTTGATTGCATTTTTTCATTCGAGGGGACACCGGGGGACTGTTATGTCTTTTCACGCCGTTTACGTGTAACAAAAGGCACCTACTCACTATAATTTTACTACTGCGCATCGCTGCCCCCAAAAGTTCCCGCACGTTTTCATCTAAATTCTTGCTACTAAAATGTCTTCATCATCCATCAGTAAACGCAATTAACATTGCTTCAAATTTTGTTCATTCTGGTTTCGATCCTTTCAAGTCCACGAATTAACTTCTTGGTAGTTGTGGAAAATTGTCTAAGAAAAATACCAAAATTTTCTTTCAAATAATTTTTATTTCCCCAAGTTCTTTCAATCTCATCTGAGACCATCTTCTTTTAAATGATAATATAATAAATAAATAAATAAAAAGTTACCTGCCTCACACTGTGGAAGAGAGAACAAAAAACACTTGAATTTTGAATTTGAAATCAAGAACTCTGCATAACGCTGTAAAACGATCAGTTAAAAGTGTTTTGAACTTACAGAAATACATATAAACATTCACAGACAATTTAACTCCCTGAAGATGGACTCAGATGATTGGAAGAATTTGGGAAATAAAAATTATTTGAAAAAAAAATTTTGGCATTTTTTTAATCAGTTTTCCACAACTACAAAGAAATTAATCTGTGAACTTGAAAGGATCGAAACCAAAATAAGTAGGCATGATATGTCTAAATTATTTAATCAAACCTGAATGAATATATATATATATATATATATATATATATTATATATATATATATATATGTGTGTGTGTGTCTGTGTGTGTAAGCCTCT